CACCGTGCGCAGTTGCGGACGTTTATCTCCGCGAGATTTATATTATATGTGTGTGTATATATATACGTGGGAGAGAGCTGGGAGGCCGCCCCCTGCTACTATTATATATATCGCTGGTGCACGTGCGCTCTGCTGTATACTGTTGCTCCTGATTTCCCCCCTCCCCCCCCCGCTTTTTGTATGCGCCCGCGCACGGGGTGCGTGTTTTTGTGATTCAATGCCTCATCGCGCGCTTTTTCCTTTTCCCAACCCCTTGATTGTTTTTTTTTTTTTTTTTTTTTACCTTTGTGTACGTTTACATGTTGGTTCACGGGAGCGGAGATTTTCATCATATTAAAGCCCACACGTAGTATCTCCATTAAACGGGCGTTTGCGTGTAAAACATATTTGTTTCGTGCAGATTCATTGGTATCGGCCATCTCAAAAGTAAGCATTTCTAAACAAGTACAGCAACAAGTGGTAACGTCGCTAAGGTTTATTTCATTCGTCCACTGGTGTAATATTATGCCATACATGACATCCTGTAAGTTGACAATCACAGGCGCGTAAATACAACGTGACTGTAATAGTTTTATCAATTGCATGCTTGCGTCGGTTAATCAAAAATCTAACAAAAGCTGAAACTCACATGAGCGAGGTATACCGAGAAAAGTGAGGTCAAACAAATACGAAATTTCACAGCGCTCCCTGGCAAATAAGATTAACGCGTCGGCCGGCCAAAGTCATTCCCGCCCTCTCTCTTCGCTAATACCATTAAAGAATATTTCGCGGAAAAAGGTCACGAACAAAGGAGGGACCCACGAAAAAGATACAAGTTTCAATTTGCTTCGTTGCACGTTTAGCTGCTGCTCTTTGACAACGTGCATTATACAGGGGAGTATATACAAGGGAAGCCGAAATAAAAGGAGACGCAGCGTCTGTGCGCGCGCGCGCGAAAAGTACATAATATACATTGTTGCAACGAAGGCTGCGGACTACCTGCTGCTCCGTTAACGCGATATTTCACGTTTTTACGTGGAAAAACTTATGCAGCTGCACAGGGACTCACTCCATTCAAGTAAACGATATTTCACGAAATCGCGACAAAACTCGATAATGTCTCGAAGGTGTAAATTTGCAATGTCGTTTACTTGAATATAGAGCCCCCGTTGGGGTGTGCGTAATCAATACAGGAGATCCATACGCTATTACAACTCGATACATTACTCTCAAAAAGGTTTGCTCTTCACTTATATCTGATGGGTCAAACCGAAAAATCAATTTCAAAGCAAACTGCAACAAACAGCTCGGTATTTTAATTTTTTACTCGTTTCGATCTATATCGACATTGATTCTGACGTCCAACAGGTTACCGATTTCTCGAAGCTCGCGCGTTCATCAATACATATACAGTTATATGTATACCAACATCAAAGTCTTCCGCGAACAAATAAACAGCTGCGTTTTTCTGTACACATTGACGAAAAATTTCGTGCCAACGCGTGAAAGGAAAAAACAAAAAACCGGTATTTTCTCCCCGTCTTGGCACCCATTGTTTCCAAAAACAAAGGAAAATCCTCATCCCCGTAAAAGCAGCGAAAGGGGGAAGAAACTAACGCGCCATCGACGCACACGCCACATGCAGTGTACGTGTATACACGGACAACACAGGCGACGCAAAAACTCATCGGCGCGCCCGTGAGCGAGAAGAAGAAGAAGAAGAAGAAAAACAAGTTGGCAGGGACTTTCCCTTCCTGCGCCTAAAATGTATTCCAACGCTGTGGTGCACGAGGGAGCCGTAATATACACGCGCGTGAGAAGAGCGCGAGATCTTTTCGGGAATCGACTTAGTTCCCTTCCCCCCCAGAGCAGCCCCATGTTTTCCCTCGGACTTTTCTCGTTCGCGGCTCGCACGAGGGAAGGGAGAGAGAGAGAGAGAGAGAGAGAGAGAGAGAAAAGGAAGGGGCGAGTCAGCTAGAACCCGTATATGTATATATATATAT